TTCTAGACTCCACACTTAGTATGAAAAACAAAACTTCACTGTGCCCCAACATACCCTCTAATTTTGTTTTCTCTGAACCTCGGGGTTTCATGCAGTTCAATGTCATTTGTTGTAATAAATCTCGGGAAATACCTCAGTTCCTCTGTCGCTGAGCTCTGCCCTCCCCCTCCCCCTCCCCCGCATATAGTTTGCCGGTGCAGACTGGCAAAAAGGCCAATCTCGATGTAGCTTTCATTTCAAAGTTGTTCCCATTATTTCACAATGGTAGAAATTCAGACACAAAACCGATTGGGTTGGAAAATTCATGGGTTGCCGAGTGGTTTTGACACTCCTTGCATAAAATTTTACCCTCTTATAATTACTCAAGGGACATGGAGAAAACAGAGAGCAGACTACATAAAATATATGCATTTCAGTTTGGGTCTCAGCAGAAATTAGAACGTGAAGGGATATTCCATCTGTACCCGCCCCCCCATCCCCAGTTTCCTTGGGTTTGTTCAGTGGCAAAGTCGTGGGGAATTTGAGATCTTAAACAAATGTATCATGTCTGTGCTTTGGTTGTAAACCTGCATGATTGTCTCTGCCTGGCCCATCCTTAAGAGGCTCTTTTTCTCAAAGGCAGTTGGTTATAGAAATAACTAAAAATTTGATCTTCTTGGGATATGATTCTGTGCTCAAACTTCTTCTAGTTGGTGAGGACTTTAAGTTACGCAGAGTAACAGTATAAAGTAGAAGAAATGGATTTTTTTTTTTTTTTTTTACATTATGAACAAATAAATGGCACTAACTTTTGTGGCTGTGGCTCACAAGCAAGAAATACTTTTCTTCAATGTTTTAGTTATCCATTAGTATATCATTGTGCTTTTCTGAAAATTGTCCAAATAGACATCGTTAGGAAGCATTGTTTTCTGTCTAGTAAACAGGAAAGAGGCATTTCAATATTACCAAACAGCTTGTTTACACGATATGGTTCCAAGGAAGTGGGCCACAGCAAAGGTATATGTATAGTTTAAGTCTGCTTTTTAAAACAAATGTAAGAGATTCCCATGAAAAGCCTAAATGTTCTTCTTCCTTTGATCGAAGACCATTTCAGAGCATTAGACACACAAAAATGTTACAGTCTTTCCTAATCCTCTCAAAGGTAAAGTGTATACTGCACTGAGTAGTCTGTTTTAAATGAAGTAAATATACCCTTCTTTATATTTTCAGTAATAGATATTTTTTAATCATACACGGTTAAGATGCATTCCATTACGCACTGTCACGTGTCAGAATTAGTATGGGCCCGGCAGAGCACACATAAATAAACTTCTGCCATTCCCACAAGTTCAGTGCTGTGGTGGAAGCATTATGTACTGAAACGCCAGATTTAATCTACCCTCTCGATGTTTCCTAATATTCAGATGCATTTTCCACACACCACTTCCTATTAACTACAAATCTACCTCTTAGCAAACTTCAATATTTAGGCCAATAGGACTTCTTAAAATTCCTGTGTAGTCGTATTAAGCATGCATACTGACATTTAATAAAAAACGACTTGATTTAATGATTAACTACAGAGATTATAACACACTGTAAAATAAGTCATTTCCGTGAAGGGACTCTCTATGGGTGTCACACGGCCTCTCAAAGCCACTCTAAATATCCTCACTGAATCTGTTACGGACTAATGTGCCACATTTTAAAGCCAAATTGGGTTTTCACTCTTCTCTTGCCAAACAAACAGAGAGAATGCCTCCTATAGCAAAAAGCAGGCTCAACTACACATCCATTCCCGAAGATTAGAAAGAGGGCGAAAGTGTCTGGAAATTCAAGGAAATTTTTAGTTTTCAAAAAATTGTTTCGTAAAGTACCCTTCGGCCAAGGAAAATGCCATGTTCACATAAACGTAGCAAGTGTGATCAATAGCAAACTAGTAAATATTAAAATAGAATCCGAAAAGTTGACTGGTAAATTTGTCTCTCTCAACAAAAATCTGATTTCTTTCAAGTGCTTGACTATTTTCAGAAAAATCTACGCTCTGAGCCCAAGTTACCGGGATAATTAATTGAACGATTTAGTGTAGTAAGGTATTTGGGCTTAGAAGGTAAACTTTTCAAGCTTCTGTTTCGCTTCTATGACCTTACCTTTTCGTGTTACAATGTTTTAAATTTAAAGAGTTGAGCTTCATTTACAAGAAATTACAAAAAGAAATAATTTTTAAGGGATCAGTTTGCAAAAATACTAAAAGTTTAATTTCTAAAATGTCTGTGAAAATAAATGACTACTTCTGAAAACCTCCAATGACATCAATAAGCTTTGACTGCTTTAGTTAACCCTTCACAATATTAAGAAAATCTAAGGAGTGGGGAGGTTAGAAACATATTTCTTTCTAATCTAACTGAATTGACTTGAAATCAAAAGATAGGTAGTTCTACATTTGAGACCAAAGGATCACATACAAAGATATTTTTGCCATGTTTCTGTAGGCAAAAGGGAGAAAAATGTTAACATAAGGGACAAAATTTTGTCAGTGTAATAAACTTGGACTATAGCCAAAATGAAACTCCTGAAAAGCTATTTGTTTAAAAAAATAATAAAATTATTATTTTATTTTTTAAATGGTATGATCTCTAGCATTTTAAGGGCAAATGACTTTAAGGAAAAGGATTGAGCTCTTTGAGCTCTTCCACCCTGGATTTCAAAATTCACACTTACTTGATTCACTGTATCAACAATTTAAAACATTGTAACAAACAATTAAACAAAAATTTAGATTGGCATTTACAAATGAAATCTAAGATTATCTGAGTTTCCTCACCAGAGGTATAAAAGTTTCCCCAATTATATTAGAAACCAAAGAATGTTTTAAGTTTTCTAGGAATAAAATGTAGTCCTACAATACAGGAAATTTTGAGACCTTAAGACTTAAAAAAAATTCTTATCTGCGACAGTGGGGTTTGTAAAGTCTAATTCTTATATGCTTGTGTTTCGTTGAAACTTGGGAGACTCAAGATTTTTTAAGTAGCGTGACTTTTTGGGTAAAAAAACTCAACTGTTCTTTGATGATAGTTCAAAACAAAGGGTTTCCTGGGAAAATGAGTATTTCGGCCATTTTAACGTGCACTATCATGTAATTTTAACATGGTGTTCACCTTTTCCTAGGCTCTCAATAACCTGTTTAGAGGTAATCTTAACAAGTCTGTTAAAGAAAAATTCTACTTGATTCACCTACTCATCTGACAGCATAAGTAACCAGCAAGGAAATCCAAAACCAATATCCCTAACATTTTATACTTCTGGAATATTCCCTAGGGTGCAGCCTGCACACAATGCTAGGCCCACAGTGATCTAGGTAGGGTATGACTGACTACCTAAAAAACAGATGGTTTCAAAAGCAAACGAAATCGTGTAGTTAAAATATACTTAGGCATCAGCCAGATGTCAAAGGGGGAATCAATTTGAATGGTTTCCAATGTGATTACGTGACAAATTAATTTCCCTTTTTTTTTAAATGTAGCAAATGAACTACTGATTCCTCCACTTCTCTTAACAAACGTGGTGATTTATGTGATTAATATTCTGTCCTAGGTTTGCAAGAAATAACTTTTAAGAAGTTATTTCTTCTACATCACACGTCAAAATATTGTTTTTATAAGTATATCCAGCTAAGTTTAAGACAATGCTCCTCAGTTTAAATTAGATGCTCGTCAGGGAAACTAAATTATAACTCTCAACATCTCCAGAAAGTTTTGACGGACTGTGACCAGCTACTACAGGAACTGAAAAAACACAAAATCGGCCCCCCTCGTGCCCCTGTCCACCCCTCCCAGCCCCCAGCTCTTTTTAAAAATAAGCTTGTAACTGCTGAAGAAATAATTCTGTGGAGCTCAAATGTACATTCCTCTTTCACATGAAACAACATTTGGTTGGTTAAAACCAAGTGTGAGTTGCATGTAACAGAAATCCTGCTTTGACAAAAAAAAAAAGAAAGAAAGAAAGAAAAAAAAAAAAGAACGAATTGCAGGGATTCCAAATAGTAAATTATTGACTGCGCTCTATGATTAAAACAAATCTTTTTGGATTCTCATCCAAAGCCATCCGGAGCTCACGAGTCTATTTCCAAGCTCTGTTTTTCTATGGAAGTTAAGAATATTCCCATTCCTAGAGGCCTTATAAATGTATTCTATTGGACAGTAGTAATGTAACACTGTAACTTCATATGCATCTCTAAAGTTAGAAAGTACTGGCAGACACTGATCCGAGGGTTTGCAAAAAACTCTCTCAGGTCTGTGCCCGCCCTGCGCCCACTTAGGACCAAATGTGACAATTCTATGGTGCTGTCCGGGGCCCTAGGTGCTCTGTTCATTCACCAGCAGGGTTTCTCACCCTGATGCACCCGAGCAGACCATCACGAAGTCCGGACGATCACAGACATTAGGGCCCCGAGATCTCGTAATTGCATTTTCAAAGCAAAACTCCGAGAACTCAAAGTTGGGAACTTCAGAGCTCTCCCAGCAACAGAAAGGACTGGTGGAGCCAATCTCGAATGATCGAATGTCTGCTAATTTGATTGCCTAGACTTCCAAGTCGTTAGCCAAGCAATCTTCCAAATTGAGACGCTCGGTCTCCTTCGACCTTCCACTTACACCAGAACACGGAAGGGTAGGTTGGGCCGCTGACTCAGGGTAACATCACCCATGAGAACGACGTGGTGTGTATGGCTGAACACCTGTTACAGGCTGTATGATGAAAAGCCCATGCTGCCCCTTGAAGTTTTGGAGATTCACCAATCCTTGATGTAGGGTATAGAAAACGGGTCACATTTTAAAACTGTGCATTAGTACCTTAAATGCCCGGAAGCCAAGATGCCTGCACACCTCCGTCTGCATTAATGAGGCATCCTAGCAACTTCGTACGGCCCGGATAGAACAGATATTAAAAACGAGGATGCCACGTACGATGCGCACTTAGAATCTACGGGGTACATCAACACAATGAAAAGAACACACACGAAATTCTCAGTTCATATAATTTATTGCAGTTAGCACACAGTTTAAAAATTCACCAACACACCAATAGTACAAAACTAAACAGCATTATAAGTTATTCCCCCCTCAGGAAAATAAAACATACTATGATTGTCAAAGCTAGATGTCAGTCTAAGTTTTAGAACGAAGGAAGAATGTGAAACTAATAAAAGGGAAAAGCAATCACTCACAATGACCACAAAAAGAAATTCCAAAAGAAAGTCCGTTTTCTCAGACATTGATTGTCTCCTCTAAATTAATAAAAATTATTTTAACATAAACTGTATTTAACAAAAAAAAAAACTAGGAACTCTTCAAGTAACTAAAGATAATGCTCCAAGGCCATTTTCACAGCTTTTTTTGTTTGTTTGTTTGCTTTAAATGCCATTACAGCCAAATTAACACACATTTGACCAAATATTTCCAAAACAGTCCAGCAACACACAATGGAGTTTTCCATTCAGTATCTTAAGCACAAAAATAGGCTATGTTTACAGTAGTTAAGGCGATCAAATTTTAAACAAAAGCAATTTAAAAAAAAAAGGGAAAAACAGCAAACGTTTTCCATGCTACTCCCATAGACCTTATTTGTAAGTGCAAGACAGGAAAACAAACACTGTGCAAAATGCTTTTGCCCTGCGTGCTGGTCATTCAAACCCCACGTCGGGCCGCTGCAGCCTCAGCTGCACCATACACATAGTCTACTAACCCCCTTCCCCACCTTCCCCCCGTCAATCAAGGCAGGCCAGTCCTTTCAGCCCCGGGCTTTTTCAGTCCATAGAATCTTTTCATGAGTTGGGGTGGGGGTGGGGGGCAGGACGATGAAGGAGGGGAGGGAGGGAGGGTTAAGGGAGAAGGGGAGAAGAAAAGGGGAGACAAAAAAAAAAAAAAAAGAGAGAGAGAATGACCTATTGTCAATTTGTGCAGTAGTTATTCTAAAAATGCTCAACCGGGTAAATGTGTACCCCTAAACTTTGAGCTGGCATGGGTTCTGTGCAATCAGGAGTCTGTTATAAATGCACACTGCACATGCAAATCTTTAAGCCGTTTGTAAACATTTATATTTTCCTTGTTATGTAGCGAAGTTATCAATTTGCAGCGTAAGTTTTTATTCAGCTTAACAGTCTCAACTTAAAGACAGTGGGAAAGTCAATTTTTAAATTATATAAAATAAAAATAAAAACAGTGCATTTACGTTCTTCATAACACCAGGTTTTTTCCCCCCCAAACGGTGCTATTTTGTTTCTCTAAGGAAATTAAATAATTTTAAACTCACTCGTTAAAGTTATACAATGCAAACAAAGACAAAAAATATATTGAAACTCATGCATTTCTGTAGCGTTAATATTTACTTTTCAAGACTCAACTAAGAGCATCAACACAACCTGTCAAGTTCTTTGACACCCCACCCCCCCCGGCCCGTGTAATCAATTACAGTATACAAGAACAGTAATTCACATTTTTCAACACACAGTTCAACACTGCTGAAGCTGCAATATCCTTTTTCGTTCCAAGCAAACCTTCACAAAGACAGTGTCCCAGTGAGCCCAGTGTACTTCCCGCATTTCTCTCACTGGGAGCTGTCAGAAAAACCAGAAGTTGCCACAGAAAGTTTTAAGTCAACTGCTTGTTTAAAAATAGATAATCCAGCATCTCAGAAATCTCCCAATTTGGGTCTAAAAGCACTCAGGTTTCCAACAGCCGGAAAAGATTCATGCAATTTGTGACATGTAGTAGAGGCTAATCAAACTGGAGGGGGTCTCTACTCTGAAACAGAACAGAACAAAACAAAAACAAAGTGGAAAAAGAGAGAGAGAGAGAGAGAGCGAGAGAGAGAGAGAGAGCGCGCGCGAGAGCGAGCGAGCGCTCCGAAAACAATGCAGTGTCGACAGAATGAAGCCCCGTGAAAGCATCTGGTGATAGGATGACCTGTTTCAAAGGTTCCCATTGGCTTCCTCCCCCTGCCCCCCCGCGAAAGAAAAGGCCCTCTCTGGTCTCCGACTTGCTCCAGAGTCTCTTTTCCCAGGATGCTAAGTTAGCTAGAGTCTCATGCTACTCTAAAGTGCAAAACCGAGTCAACACCCCGACGGTTTAGTTCCAGGAAACAAGGCTGCTTTTAGACCGTACCACGACTAGATAGAGATCTATGTATATATATGTACGTGTCGATATATATATTATTTATATGGAGAGGGAGACATAGAAAATCATTTCCAGAGTTCTTGGGAGCTATCTTCTAAGGTCCAGTCTCTGACCGCGGGCAGGCTCAGGGCCTCGCTTTTGACAGACAAGGAGTTCACCAACTCACAGTGGAACTTGCGGATGTGTCTGTACAGGTCCCCCGACTGCGTGAACCTGCGCTCGCACCACTTGCAGGCGTGCGGCTTCTCGCGCGTGTGCACCACCGCGTGGCGGCTCAGGTTGTGCGAGTACTGGAAGCTCTTGCCGCACTGCGTGCACGTGTAGGGCTTCTCGCCCGAGTGGGTCCGCTCGTGGCGCTTGAGCGTGTACATGCACGAGAAGGTCTTGCCGCAGAGCGAGCACGTGGGCACGTTGACGTCGGCGGCCGGCTTGCCGCGCAGCCCGTCCTGCTCGCGGAAGTGCGTGCTCAGGTGGATCTGCAGGATGTGCGGGCTCGGGAAGACCTTGTTGCACAGCGGGCACATGAAGATCTGGCCGGCCGGGCTCAGGATGTTGGACACGTAGGGCAGCAGGCCGCCGTCCACGGCCGCCTCGGCCGGGCCGCGCTCGTGCTCCGGGCTCAGCATCTCGTCGTCGCTGGCCTTGTCGTCGCGCTCCAGCTCCCTCAACACCGAGTCCTCGCGCAGCGGGGCCAGGTGCGCCGGCTCGTACGGCCCGCGGGCGTTAGCGGCCCCGCTCTCTTTCGCGGCGCTACGCTCCATGTCATAGTCACTAGCGCCCACCTCGCCCTCCTCACACGGAGCCTCTTTCTCCACCTTCACCTGCACCAGGTTGCTTCTCAGCACGTCCTGTGAAGAGAAATAAGAGCTGTTCAGATTTTCAACTCCTGACAGGCCGGACTTGACAGACAGGTCCAGCACACAGTCAACATCCGCCGAGCCCCTCACGGAGGCCACAGACCTCTGCGACAAAGACTCTGCGGAGCTGCAGGGGCTGGCCACGGTCTTGCCGGCGGCCGCGTGGTGCGGCTCCGCGTCCCCGCCGGCCGCGGGCAGCCCCGCCGAGTCCGAGGGCAGGCGCATCCACATGGTGCCCGGCTCGGCCGCCAAGTCCCTTTTGCCGGGCAGGAGGGGCAGCTTGTCGTCCTCGCCGTCGTCCTCGTCGCTGGGCAGGTCGCCCGCCACGTGGCTGCTGCCGTCCGACAGGCTCTCGACCTTGTCCGAGCAGCTGGACGCGTCCTCCTCCTTCTTGGTGCTGTCCGCCTCGGTGGAGGCCTTCTCCTTCAGCTTCTTCTTGCACACTTTGACGATGTCGTACATGTGGAGGTAACTGGCAGCTGCGAGCACGTCCTCAATGGGCAAGTCTTTGAACTGGAGTTTCCCTTCGTACATGAATTCAAGCAGGAGCGCGAAAGCCGGGGCCGTCACAATGTCGCTGTTCAGATGAACAATGTCCCTTTTGTCCAGCTGGTCCTTGTAAAAGAGGTGGAAGTACATGCTGCACGAAGCCAGCACAGCTCGGTGCGCGCGGAACTGGGCATCTCCCACCAGGACGGTGCAGTCACAAAGGAAGCCCTGGTGCCGCTGCTCGCTCAGACACTGCAGCAAATGTCTACTGTGGTCCGGGAACTCCATGCTGTCTTCATAACCTGGGGAGAGACACAGTCGTCGTGAGAGCCTGCCTGGGAACAACTTGCCGCCGCTCGGGGGGCCCCGTACCAGAAAAAAAGAAAAAAAAAAAAAAAAGGAGGAGAAGAAGATAATGACAGTGATTTGGGGCTTGGGCCGCCCGAGGTGCCCATCCCTGCATTTTAATCAGGCTCCTGACCCAAGGACGACCAGAGCACACGCACCAAACCCGAGGGCGAGAAGAAGAAAGAAAAAAAAAGTACCCTTTCCCAACTTCCTTACCCCAGCCAAACAGTCCCCAGTGCATCCCCACCTTCCCGGAACTTTCGGGCAAGTTTTAAAAGCCTTCGATTCACTACAGGCTCTTACTGAGAATGAGAATTCACAGCTCTTTCAGGAGAAGTGAACCTACTCATCAAATCACGTCCTACGAAACCCACAACAGCTCGGAGAACGAACAAAGAGGAGTCCCAAACACATTCTGGAAGATTCAGAAAACTTGTTCAACCATCCTTTTTATTTCACTACTTTTTTGATTACATGACTGCGCTTAGAAGGCACGATTTTAACACACACACACACACACACACACACACTGGCTGAATCAAGGGGAAAAAATGAAATCGCATAATTAGCCCAGAAATTAGCAAACAACTCACTTTTAAAGTCAGAGTGTTACAGCAACAAAAGCCCTGTGTATAAAAACAGATGTTAATGCCTTAGGATTTGCAGGTAGAGCACACGAGCACGAGATCAGAAAGAACTACACCGACAGATGGAAAAGATCATCTTTACTATGAACAAATCCAAATATTTTTTAAGTGAATGGAGGAAAAAAGAAGTAGTATTTCTTTGTAAAAATCTCTACAGCTAGGATAGGAGGGAACCAGAAGTGCTTCCCTTAACTCTGAAAATTCTCACCTAAACTTTGATCCATTGCAGAGCAAATGAATTCCATATTAAAATGATTTCAGACTTTTAAATAAAAGCGTATTGTATTCAAATGCAACTCCAAAGCTTTACAGGTTCAACATCCTCCCCCCAAGCAAAAAAAAAAAAAAAAAAAAAAAAAAAAAAAAAAAAAAAAAACAAGCAAAAAAAAAAAAAAAAAAAAAAAAAAAAAGCCTTGCTAGAAAAAGAGAAACTATTTTTTTCTGACTCTGCCTTACCTCATTCAACAGAAAATACTTTGTTTCAACAAAACTTGATATATTTTGTTCTCCCACTAGCTTCTATTCTTTCAAATATGCACCAGCGCCCTTGTTTTCTGGTGGAGGGGGGTGAAATAGAGGGGGAGCAAACGCGAGGATGTACAAAGGGTCAAAATTCAACTGCAAAATTCAACTCCTTGAAGAAGAAGAAGAAGAAGAAGAAGAAGAAGAAGAAGAAGAAGAAGAAGAATCATCATCATCATCAAGAAAACCCGACTTCCCCTTTCCTGTGACCAGAAGCAAGGTTCCACACCAAGCAGCCCAGAAAGTGCATTTGGGGAACGGATGCGTGGTAACTTAACAGTCAGAAATTACCTCCCTGCTTTTTCTACACTTTGCCCAAGATGGGCTGAAACTTTCATCCTAGCCCCCAAATACGTTCCGCCCCACGCCCCTGCTAGAATAAACCAAGATTTACAATACAATCACTTTAAGTGCTCCACAGCTAACATCAATCCTAATCCTTGAGAGGGCTAAAAATAAAGATTGGAGGGCAGCTCACAAGGTAGCCGTGATCAAATTAGGAGGCTGAGGACAGAGAGGGACGAAGAAGGAAGCTTATAAACATCTGACCCAGCTGACTGTGGCCATATGGCAGCTGCTGCCCAGATAAAGAGATTAAGAATGGAGGGGTGCGATTACAGCTGTCTGGCCAATTCAGGCAGCTCAAATCTACAAGTTCTAAATTAGTCGCTAACACAAAAACTCCTGCAAATAATTATTGTTATGCTGAAATAAAAGATCTCTTAAATATATATTTGAAAGAGAAATGAGGAAACCAGTCAAACTATTCTCCTGGGGACAAAAGTTTTTTTTTTCTCCCCCCTTTTTAAAAAAAACCTTCGGTTTCAAAAGCACTTACAGCTGTATGTTTCAGTAGCGCTGGCTGAATGTTTTGAAGAATAAAGTTTCACAGTGGAATTAATTACACAACAATCTAGCTTCTTAACTAGAATAATCTGCTCATATAAGTTTGAATGCTGGATTCCAGACAGTTTACTATTTCTCTCCCCCGACTACCCCCCAAAAGCAAAAGGAGTCTAAACAGCAGTGAACAACAGAAAAAAAAAAAAAGCATTCTAATCCAAAGTGATCTCAAACAGCAACATTTCAATGCCTTCCTTAACATTTCAAAACTTGAAATATTTCTGTGCATAAAAGTTATTTACTTGCTCGAGCAAAAGGGATGAAAATGAAAACTAAACGAGCCCAAGACTTCCAACTCCAACAAGATGTTCACTTAATCCTCGATTTCATATATTATTCCTAAACTGGGTTAGAAAAGTAATGTGATTTTTTTTAATTAAATAAACAGAACACCAAAACAGAAATAGGCTCGATCTAATCTCTTGCTACTCCTACCTTTAGGACACATAAACCTGATTAAGTCCTTTCCTCTGAGTCTCGCTGGCTCCAGGTCTGTTACATCGGTGGAAAAAAAGCAGACTAAGAGAGACAGATGCAAAGTGGAGATGATGTTAGAGAGGAACGAGATACCTTCTCCACCACAGATCCGCACACACTAGCTCCCTGTCTGTGTGTTAGAATAAAAGGCTGAGGGATGGCAGGCTGTCAGCTGCTCTGACATCATGTTCAGATGGAAATGCTACCTCCAGCTGTGCTCCTTTTAATGCCATATGCTGCTCCTCTACACTCCTGCTACCAGCTTTTTCTTAGGAGAACTTTTCTCTTCTGTTAGTATAAACAAAATACTTCAAAGTCTCCCTTTCCCCCCCCCCCAAACTTTCTAACAGAAGAAATTGAAAAACTCAGCATATGGAGTTCTACTGTATTTATGGAATAGCAACACTTCTGTCTTAAGTTGGTGGACTGGCTTACATACTGACAGCACACTCAAGCCACGGTGCTATTCAGGAAATCCAGATTCACTTTTATTCAACTCCAACGTTTAGTTTCAAAGGCAGCTTAGGGATATTTTTAAACCAACCCAATTGACATCTCCAGTCCCATTTCAACATTATTACGATACTTTCATTTTTTTTTTTCCGCCCTGCCGAGATCATGGCATACGTGTCTCAGAAGGCTGCAGGACTCTACCTTCACCTTCTTCTTCCACTCTTATTTAACTGTTTATCTCCAGCTACCCTCTCGTGCAATTTCTCACACTTGCCGGTTCATGCAAATTTCAAGTCTCGGTATCAACAAGGTGAAACTGCACTTTCTGAAATCCTGGAAAGTACTTCGGTTCCATGAGACCAATTAATAAACGGACACAACTCGGTACTGCCGCTTCACGTGAACGCTGCACCTGCCTATCTGATCCGCCTCCCGGCTCAGAAAATGCAGAACTCTGTCTTCCCCTTGATCTGTGTCCCATAACAATGTCTTTTTGGGTCACTCTGTAATGTTTCATGATCACAAGGAAACCTTTCAGAAAGGAGGTGGGGGGGGTGGGGAGCAGGTCGAGTGAGTTTGGGAACTTTTTAGCTAGAGTCTGTGGCTCTTTGCTACCGGCTGATGAAAGAGTAAGGCCACCCGGGCCGGGCCGACGGGTGCCCTGCAAGGTGCTGCGACATCTGTGAATGTGAGACACATGTCCACGGACTCCGGGGAGGGTGAGGGGCAGAGAAGGCCTGAGGCGCGGCCCTGCCTGGCGCTCTGCACTCCGTTCTCATTAGGAAACCGCGGCAGAGTTAAAGAGTAACAACACCCCACGTCCTGTCCTTCTCGCTCTGCCAAAGTCACCAGCCTAACTTTCTCTAACTTCGCAGGGAATGACAGAAGGACGAACGCCGCTTCCAGGGGGCACCGGTCGCAGCTAGATTCCTTCTCAGCCGCACAACCTCTCCTCCACGAATGCCCTCGCCCCATTCCAATATATCAGACATTAATCACCCCATTTACCCAGTGGGGTGGGGGGTGAGTGACAGTTTAATGAGTCCCAAGCACCGCAAAGGGCCAGCGACTCCCACCCCACAAATCAACCCCTTCACGTCTTGCTACCGCGGGGTCCAGGGAGGTTTGGTGAGGTCGGGTTTTTGTTTTTCCAAGAGGTGGGGGCGAGGGTGCGGGGGGGGGGAGAAATGCAAATGTCCACATAGTTGGCCGTGCATAAAACACACGCGGAAAGAGGAAGGTTAAACCACAGGGAAGGAGGAGGAGGGCGCAGAGCCGGTGCAGCAGGAAAACACCTTCAACAACAGACGAGAAAACAGACCCGGGTCACGGCAACAACAAAAGAAAAGTCGTAAGAAGCAGCCCGCGGGAGGAGGGTGGCCGCCGCCGCTTCCCCGACGCCGCGGCGCGCGAGCCCCCGGGGCCTCCCGGCAACTGCACCGGCCCGGGAGGGGCCCCTCCCCCCGCCCCCGCCCCCCCGCGGGCGCCACTGCAGCTGCACCGGCCCCCGGAGCCGCGGCCGTCCCGGGCGCCGCTGCAGCTGCGGCGGCTCCCAGGCCCCCCTCCCCCCGCCCGCCGCCCTCCGCACCCGGGAGGCGCCGCCGCAGCTGCACCGGCCGGGAGCCCGCCCCGCGCCGCAGCTGCACCGGCCGGGGGTGGCGGGGGGGGGGGCGCGGAGCCGGCGGGCCCGCACCCCGCCCGACCCCGCAGCTGCGGCGGCCCCGTCCCCGCGCCCGGCCTCCCGCAGCTGCGCCGCCCCCCGCCGCCCCAGCCGCTCCAAGCACACAAACTAACTCCACTCGCGGGGGCGCCCCCGGCCCGGCCCGCCCCCCGCCCGCCCCGGGCCCGCCGGCCGGGGCCGCACAGCTGGCGCCCCCCGCCCGCCAGGGGGCCGCGCGCCGAGGGGGCGCCGGGTCAGGGGCCGGGGCGGGCGCCGGGACTCACACGGAGCGGCCCTAAGTCACCGCGTCCCCGCCGCCGCGTCCTCCGCCTCCTCCTCCTCCTCCTCCCGGCCGCCGCCGCCGCCGCCGCCGCCGCCGCCGGACTTGGTGGGCTTCCTCCTCCTCTTGCCCCCCTCCCTCCCGGCCCCCCCGACCCCCAATCCCGGCTCCGTCGCCCGCTCCCCCCTGCCCCCTCCCTCCCTCCCGCCCACCCCCGCTGGCAGCCGGAGGAGCGCGGCGGAGCGAAGAGGGCCCCACTCTCAACGGCTCCCCATGGCAGCAGCCCAGCGGCGGCCGCAGCCTGCCAGACACAGCGAGGGAGCGAGCGAGGGAGCGAGCGCGGAGCCGCCGGCCGGGGGGGGAGGGGGCGGGGGGCGGGGGGGCGGGCGGGGGAGGGGGAGGGGAGGGGGGCGGGAGGACGCACCACGCACGCACGCGGCGGCGCCGGCCAGATGTTCCCCCCGCCCAGCCTCGGCCCGCCCCGCTCCTCCCCCAGCCTCCCTCCCTCCCGGCTTGGGGCCTCTGCGATTGACCGTAAGCGGCTGGACCGGCGCTCCCTGCCCGCCCCCAGCGCGCAATCTTCTCCAATAGGAGGGCGACTTTGCAGGAGGGCGGAGGGAGTGGCGGGCAGCCGTCGGACTGACACGGGGCTCTAGCCAATGGGACAGGCGAGCTGGAGCTGCCGCTCGCGCGCGCCAATCGCGGGCAGAAGCTGTCGGAGTGGGCGGGGCCCGGGCGGGCGGGGGCCGGCAGCGAGGCGGCGCGGGGCGGAACCCTCGGGCGCAGCGGCGGTGGCGGCAGCGGCGCCCCTCTGGGTGACTTGGCCGTGAGAAAGTGAAAGGAGCCCGCGGGCGGCGGCGACAGCTGCGCTGGGAGGGGCTTGTCTCCGGGCTCCGAGGCCTCGCGCGCCCTGGGGGTGCGGAGCGAGCTTTTCCGCGTGCACCGTGACCACCATAAATACACTTTTAAACCTAGTGCAGCCGGTCCGCGCCGACGTGCGCGGCTTTCCTTTGGACGCAGGGTCCCCGGGGACGCCGAGGGCTGGAGCCCGGCCTGCGGCGGCGCCCGGTGCTCCCCGCGCCGCGGGCGCCGCCGCCCGGTCCTCGCCCCCGCCCCAGGCGCTGGGAGCCGGGCCGAGGCCCGCCGCGGCCGCGCCCGCTCCCCAGGTACGCGGCGGGGCGCAGGGGACGCGGCCGCGCGGGGGGCAGGTCCGGCCGCCGGCGGCGCCCTGCAGCCCCAGGGCACCCGCGTTGCCGCGAGTGCACACTCCCACGTGGCCACATTGCCCAGAATCACAGTAAAATTGGTAGTTGTGGGAGCCCTAGCCTGATTCCTTAATTGACACGTACCGAGCCACAACGTTCACCTACCGGGGGAAGAGGCTCGACTTGCCCTCCCTTCAAATGAACTTTTTTTTCCCCCCCCGATCGCTCTTCTTTACAAGTAAATTGGGTTCATCATGGCCACGAAGAAATGTAGAAACTTCTCAAGAAACTGGAAATCTGGTTGAGGAAGCGGGGATCACAAGTAAAGAGTTGAGCAGCAAGTCAAAAAAGGGTCTGAGAACGTAAGATAGAAAACTGCACCGCGAGGAAGTCAGTGCACTAGTAATTGTCAAGTGAAATGTGTTTATTCTTTGCTAACTGAAGCGGGACTGGCGAGCCTGTTGTTAACCAACCTGCCAGGAGACCTTTCAACTGGGCAAAATGCGCTTTCATTTTGTTACAGGTCAAATGGGTAAACGAAGTTGGAAGTGTTGTGTGGGCAAATCAGACATGTTGAATTACTGACGACGTAAAAACAGGAGCAAGTAGGTTGCCTGGAACTGAAAAACGGTTGGGATGTCCTGTTAGGAACGGTAGCCATGGTGTCTGCCCTTTCCTCAACTTTTTCATACTGCCCTCGGGATTGAGCACTGAGGCCAAGGCCATCCTGTGATAACTGGGTTTTTTTCAGAACGTGAAATAAGTCTTAATGTGTGCTTCTGGTGAATTTCCACCTCTTTTAATCTGTTGCTAACAAGGCCCAATTTCAGTTTGACTTGTTTCAAGTTAGGGGATTTGTAAATGTTCTTGATGGATGAAATATACCATATATATACTATCTATATATATGAAGTGGAAAGGAGCACACGCTTTGCCAACAAGTTCAGGGAAGAAAAAGGAAAAAGAAATGTTTGCCTTCTCAAAGCTGTTTTTCATCTATTTTGAACTTAAAAATAAGGAAAGTAACAGATATCTGGATGAGTAGATGTAATAGTGTCAGGATATTAAATAATGAATTCAAGAGTAAATTAGAACATACTATCCACCAAAAGCTTAGAAACTCAGTTCTGTGGCATATAGAGCAAATTCACAGCTATAACAAAAGGTTTTACTACCTATCTAAAAGTAGAGATGGGAGGGGACGAGGTGGGGCTGACACATTGAGGCATCAAAAGTTGTGAGCATTGTTATCTAGATCTAACGGCCATTACTAGAATTCATTTTGAGGGCTGAGTAGGGTAGCCAGAAAATATAGATCAAATGGATATTTAAAGAAGCAAGTATGTCGTCTCTCAATTATGTAAAAGATTTTATAAATTTATGAAAATGCATAGAATATTCATACATTGTCAGAATCAATGAACACATATCTGGAGTATTTATTGTGTTCAAGAAAGGCACTCTGATGAGATGAAAGACAACAAAAAAGCATGAGACAAGTTCTGTCCTTCCTGGGGTTTAAATTTAGCTGGGAAAGAGATGGTGTAATGTGTGAGTATCTGAAACAACAGACAGGCTAAATAACAATATAATAGAATATGAGTGTCAGAGCTAAATTTAATATTCGGTTGTTACAACCGTCATTATCCCTGGTCCCTGGTGAGGTTGTATTTTCTCTGCCTCTTTTTTTACATCAAAAAATTGTTTTTTACTGACTGTATTTTAAAGTATCATAAACTTACTATGAAAGTGATACTTTTAATCATCTTTGGAAAATCATCAGCATACAAATTCTAAGTAAAGCAAGATTGATGACAGAGGTATCCCAATACAGAATGACTGCACTTTTTACTGGGTGCCCATTAGGATCCAGTCTTAAGTCAGAATCAAATAGTCCCCTCAAGTAAGCTCCTAAAAGTGGGATCTGTTTACCTCTACCCAAGAGGCTTAGCAAATTACCAAGATAAAAAGCTACTTGACAGAGTTTGAAAGCCAAAAATTTTTCCCCTCTGTCACAGTGAGAAAAAAAATAAGTGCAAAAACTACAGTTTCTCAACCATTACCAGAATGTTCCATTGCTTTCTTCTGAAAACCCCCCAACCCTGCATAGTTCCAATTAATGCGTACTTTTATGTGAGTCCTGAAATGAAAAATGATACAAAGCCATCTAACCATTCATGGTTACATTTCTTGCCAGAGAACAAGTTTTATGCTGTTTTAATAATACATGGATTTCCAAAAATAGCAATTTAACACTATAAAATGTTGACAGACCAAATAAAACTTAATTTGATGGGCAACTCCATAAAATGAAGGTCTGACTTTTAAATGCAAACCACAGGTCAAATCTCTGGAAATAAAAATCAGCATCTTTGTTACTCTTTGTGCAATAGGTCATATTGAAAAAGTTGTCTCATGCAATTAAGTTTTGAGTGTTAAATTTTTATAAACTTCATGTCCAATTGTGGTTTTTTTCCTTAAAAAGTTAGGGAGGCAAGCATTAATAATGAAAGACCAGATATTCCCAAAGTGCAATATTTTACATATGATAACTATGGAATATAACAAAATGTGGGTAGAGGCTAACCTGATTTTGAATCTGGAGAGGGAAAGTATACTAAGGAGCATACTCTAAAATGTGTTAAAGCTTCTATTAAGCCCAGATTCTTTCAATGTCACAGCACACATAAAATTCTATTAACTTTTTTAGATTCTCCCTCTCTCATTCTCTTTCAGCTTTTAGAAATGAACAGGTTGAAATGGCCTAAAGGTAAAAGAGACACAGAAACACAGCTGAGACATTAGTAAAAAAAAAAAAAAAAAAAAAGGAAATGAACAAAATGAACAAATTGTTGGAACACACACTGCAATGATGACATGAACAGGGAGCATATTTCCTAANCCCTCTCTCATTCTCTTTCAGCTTTTAGAAATGAACAGGTTGAAATGGCCAAAAGGTAAAAAAGAAAAAGAAACACAGAAAAAAAATTAATAAAAAAAAAAAAAAAAAAAAAAAAAAAAAAGGAAATGAACAAATTGTTGGAACACACACTGCAATGATGACATGAACAGGGAGCATATTTCCTAAAGCACGGTTTTTAAAAATATATGTTTATAATCCTGCAAAACACGTTATATACCAAATCATTCCCTGGGTTATAAATTCTATAATACTTGAATCTATTTACTGAATTCCTTAACTCTGATAAGCCATAAGTAAGAGATCATTCATCCTGATTCTCAGCCCTGAAGACAGAAATAATGTTTTCCTAAACTCTTGATGAGAGATCCTGAGTAGATTTATACAGGGCGCTGGGGATACACCCCCTATGCTAAAAGCAGAAAGAGCCTACACCAGTAATTCAAACCTGTTTGATGGTTAAAAGCAGAAGAAGAGCAAAAGATACAGTCTTCCCCGCATAATCTCCCCTGTGTAACCAGTTTTCAGTTGCTTGCTGTAAAATCAGTGCTTTTACGTGACCTTCAGAAATCCAGAAACAGCATCGTGGGTGAAGGAGGCTGATGGATTAGGGTTGCTCGACATCAAGACTGGCCACCCACACCTCCATTCTTTCTGTCCCTCTCTCCCCCCACCGCTACCCTTTCCTAAACAAAATAAATTGATGTGGACACGTCTAGCAGCCTTGAAAATCACACGGAAACTCCAAAATCCAGATGTGGATGTGTTCTGTTGTTGTGGAGGCTGTGTTAGTTTGGGTAATTGAAAGATACATTCATGGGGTGCCTGGGTGGCTCAGTCGCTTAAGCGTCTGACTTTGGCTCAGGTCATGATCTCACAGTTCATGGGTTCAAGCCCCACATTGGGCTCTGTGCTGATTGCCAGCTCAGATCCTGGAGCCTGTTTCA